ACATACACACACACAAGACACATACACACACACACACACACACACACACACACACACACACACACACACCATTAGTCAGGATCAACAGAGGTGATGTAGCGATGACTGTGACCTCTTGCAGGAGCAGAATTGCCCTTTAATCAGAATACCGAAGGAAGTGTCTCTAGTGGAGTCTATGTCCTGGGGCACAAGGGGCCTCCGGTTTTGTAGGGTAGAAGCGGGACCCTTGGGTGACAGATTTCATCTGCAGACCTATTTTCTGCTTTCCCACGCTGGCAAAGTTTGGTGGCATCCTTACCACATTGGCGTCCCTGTCCTAACCGTCCTCTGAGATCAGCGCTATATCTCTTCCTTCAGGGAATCTCTCAGACTGCCCGAGGCTTCTAGGTTATTAACCCTTCACATACCCCTAAATAAACAAACAGACAACCAAGAAAGAAAATCAGCCTTGCCCATGGTCCCGGGAGTCCAGCACCTAAACGCTGATGCAGGAGGATGGATAACTGGAGGCTGGGCTGGCCTGGGCTAGACCACAACTGGCTTCACTGCAGAGAGTGAGAAAAGAAAGTTGCAATGGATTGAGGAAATGAATGGGAAAAATGATCCTGCCTGAGGCTATGGCCGAGAACACGCTTTTCTGGGTGGTAAAATTACCTTCCCCTTAAAGACACAGGAGCAGGAAACTGTGTTAATGGTGGCTGTGTTACTCCAGGTCAGAGGTCAGCCCTCAGCAAAATGTGTCATCTTTAAAAAAAAAAAAAAAATTTTTTTTTTTTTTTTTTTTGGTCAGCAAAGTATAGTGGTGCACACCTTTGATCCCAGCACTTGGGAGGCAGAGGAGGCTGGACCTCTGTGTTTTCGAGGCCAGCCTGGTCTACAGAGTGAGCTCCGTGACAGCCAGAGCTCAGCAATGAGACCTTGTCTTGAGAAATCAACACCAAAAATTTTTGGGTTTTGTTCGCCACCATATAGATGCTGGGAACCGAACCCAGGTCCTTTACAAGAACATCCAGGGCTCCTAACCACTGAGCCATCTCCCCTCCCCCCCCCCAGGTACAATCGTCTTGGTCTCACTGGGATTCTTCTTGGTGGATCCTGAGGGAGCTGTGATGCTGAAATCCCCACACAGAGGTGCCAGGATGGGACAAGAGACCAGCTGAGGGTCCTGAGCAGATCTGAGTGAGGGCCAAGCTAATTATACTTTAGAATATCCTATTACATTTATGTCACGTGTGTGAATATGGAGGTCAGAAGACAACTTGTAGGTGTGGCCTCTCTCTCCTCCCACCATGTGGGTCCCAGGATCAAACTCAGGCCATCAGGCTTGGCAACAAACACCTGTTCCCTCTGAGCCTTCTCACTGACCCTTTTTGTGGTTGACCAGGTTCTCATAGTCACATATTCCAGGTTAGCCTTCAACTCACAGCAAGCCTCCTGCCTCAGCCCCCTGAATGCTGGGATTATAATGTGCCACTATGCCCAGCTCATCTATACCTCTCCCACACCCTCCGGGGTGTCTTAAAGAGATCTGATGTGTCACTCAGCCCAATGAAGTCATTGCCCCTGGCCACCCTGACTGAGCCAGGGAGTGACCAAGTCACAAGGTTTAACCTTCTTAAGCTACATGTTCAGCTGCTCCTGGGGACACACCGCTGTTCCTCATGATCTCCTTGACTTAGCCTTCTCTCTGCTCGGCCTCTGTCTGCCCTGATGGGGCCCAAACTCAGCTCTGCCTCCAATTCCCACTCAGGGTAAGCAGGGCCTGCTGGAGGTCAGAAGCTCCATGGACAGCTAGACTCTCAGCCTGCCTCCTGCCTTGTGCCGCCTCCTGCTTTCTCTTCCGGCCTCCTGGGGGGAGGGTGGTACCTTCTCCAACTCAGGAGCTGCTTCTTGGATGGGCACTGCCAGAGCCCAAGTATAGGGGCAGGCACAGGAAATGACATTTCCGAAGCCCCTGCCATATGTTAGGGGTCCTCAGGGATAAGACACCTGAAATGCCCCAGACATGCTCCAAAAATGCTGATGTCAGAGAGAGGGAATGAATGCCTGGCCAAGGTGACAGGAAAGATGTCAGTGGCGTGGGGACAGCATTTCCCTACCACATCAGTTCACACAGTGTCTGTCTTGATTGAAAGAACAGAACAATTATCCTGTTCAGGAGTTTCAGTGTGGCTAGAGTTTTCTCTCTGAGTCCCGCCAAGTCCCGGCAGTCCCTTAACCCACTTATATAATAAACATACAGATGCTTATATTATTTAAACTGCTTGGTCATTAGCTCAGGCCTACCATTGTCTAGCTCTTACTCTTATATTCAGCCCATTTCTATTAATCTATACTTTGCCACGTGGCTCGTGGCTTACTGGTATCTTACATCTTCCTTGTCCTGGCGGCGGCTGCAGGCAGTCTCTCCCCCTTCCCTTCCTGTTCCCTCAATTCTCCTCTCTGTTAGTCCCACCTATACTTCCTGACTGGCTACTGGCCAATCAGTGTTTTATTTATTAACACATTTGCCATACAGAGCATCCCACAGCGTTTCAGTGTCAATGAAAACTCTCAGCCTGTTGGGCATGTCCCAGGCTAGGGACAAGGGTCAGCCATTTTCTGGATGGAAGTTACGTGTCTTTCATGGTCTCCCTCGGCTGCCTGGCAGTGGCTGTGTGGAGCACTGTGTTGGGAAGGATTCAGAAGCCATTTGTGGGCGCTGTAGTGGGTGCTGTATTGGTTAGTGATGTCTGCCAGGAGCCCTGGGAGAGGGTGGGTCAGAGCCCTTTGCATGATCCCCATTTGCCCCTTGTCGCCACCTGGTGGCCAGTAGCTGATCTTCAGTAAATGAGTTGATCTGAAGGCGGCTGTCTTCAGTCATTATGGAGGTGGGAATTGGCCAGCAAACCGGAAAAGAGTTTCTAATCCACACTGTTCCCAGGAGTCAGAGAGTCCTTTGGAAGGTGAAGAGAGTGTGGGTACTTTGAAAAGAAACTTCCTAGATGATTCCAGGAACTTGAGAAATTGTCCTGGAAGAACTTGGCCTTGGGAGGAACAGACCAGCTTAGCAGGAAGTGGCTGGGCCTTCCTAACAAGTTACTCTTGTCTTTCAGTGACACAATACAGCGGGGTTAAAAATCCTCTCGAGGAGCCAAGCGTGGCCATGCACACCTGCAACCAACCCGAACATTCTAGTGATGGAGGCAGGGGATCAGGAGTTCAGAGCAAGCTTAGACTGCCCATGGAGTTCAGGGCCGTCCTGGACTGTATGAGACCCTGTCTAGAGGGGCAGGAGAGATTTTTCTAGATTTATCTGGCTTTGGGGATCATGGAGAATGTGGAATGTGGGTCTGTCAGTGAAGGCTCCGTGTGAGATGGAAGGTGGTAGAACACAGGGTGGTATTAGACGGTCTGTACAATCCTTCGTTGCTGTCACTGTGTGACTGAGCAGTAGGCTGGGAGTCTGGAGGCCCAGGTCCCTTCCATCCCTAGCTTCCGTGGGTCTTTGTTTCCTCAATGGATGGACTGAACAGCCTCTAGTGGTGT